TATATATATATATATATATGATCTTGCCAATCGCATCAGTCTCAGCTTTTCTATCACATTATCCTAGATTGCCTTGAAAATAACCATTGCTAGCCATGGAAAAATAAAATTCACTAGTTCCAAAGAAGAGAGAGAGAGATCGATCGTGTGTGAACTAAAATAAATTCAAATAATAATCCACTTAACCATTAATAGAATGAAATTAACTGTGAAAAATAAAACACCCCAGACTTTCTTAAAACTCTCATACCCACCCAGCCACCCTTGCTCCCGTTAAATAACCTCATACCCGCTCTATTAAATGCGGGTACCCGTGAGTCAGTAAAGAGAGGCAGTCCATTTAGAGGAACCCAAGTAAAAAGACAGTAACTAGAGAACTAACCAAGGATCAAATCTTCAAGAATGAGGGCAAGATCTTCCAATCTGGACAGAGAGATCCAAAACGAGGAGCATCATAGAGCTCTTTACAATCACCTTCAAAGCAAACTTTTTGCCAACCTCTAGCAATTCCCAACTGAATCAGCTTCGAATTAGCTTCTGTTTGTTTCAATAACTTAAACTATTGTTTAAGATTCAAATCTTAGTTCAGGATTCAAACTGATGTTTAGGAGAGGAAAATTTAAAGGCAACTCAAATTATTAACAATAGTTAAAAGGATAACTCAAATTGTTGATTTTAGAACACACAGCTTCTCTTAAATTCTAACAATCCGAATTGTTGTGAACTGTTAAATAGTTCTAGATTCTACTTTTTTTCTATCTTGAATTTCAATCTTAAAATATCATAACTTCTTCGTTTGAATTCCAATTGAGATGATTTTTTTAATGTGTCCTTAATGAAGAGAGGAACAAATCCCCACCCATATTGCATATTTTTTATTGTCATTTATAATGAGATTTTATAAGATTTGTAATAAAACTCTAATGACAGTTTTTAACACTTTATCTAAACACAGTTCGGATTTTATTCTCAATTCAAGTTACAATTTATTTGTATATTCAAACAATAGTTTGGATCACAATTTGAATTACCACAGTTCAGATTCTACAATTCTAACTAAAAAAATTTAAATCTTCACAATTTAAATTTTTTAACCAAACAAGCCTAATTCTACAGAAAGGAAAATATACGAAATGAAAAATAAACAAGAATGCACACTAAGGCCTCGTTCGCTTTACGGATTCGAGTTTTCAATTCTAACTGAGATGTGATATTTTCTGAGAGCTTTTAACTGTAGCAGAAAAAATTAGATGTGACATTTTCTGAGAGCTTTTAACTGTAGAAATCTAGAACTGAAAATTCGAATCGGTGAAATGAACAAGACATAAATTTTTAGCGATTCTCCGTTAACATGAGAGTTACATCAACTTTCAGTCGTCGCAGAAATTCACTGTAATGATGAAGATATTTACAAAAAAAAAAAAAATTGCACACCCTCTCTCTCTAAATTTTTCTCCTGCCTCTCTCTATATTTTATGAGTTATACAAATAAGTCCTACCATGGTCCACATCCTATTTATAGGTTTGCAAAAAATGAGGAAACAAAAAAGGGACATTCGCCTATCTTCCTCTCCGTACGATATCACTTTTTATGGCTCCATCTTCTGTTTTGCACTCACACCTATAGCAGAATTCTTCTCGATCACCTATATATATATATGTAATAACAATAATAATAATATGTATATATAATCTTGCACAATAAGCAATCTTTCACCAATTATCTAAAAGTATAATCAATAATGTTAGTGAAACATGCTTTATATATATATATAGATGAGATATATATATATATATATATATAAATATATAGGATGAAGTGTATGCATATACCTACAAATGGCTAAGCAGCAGAAAGCTCAATATGATCAATCCAAGTATCAGCAATAGCTGCAATAAGAGTCGTTAGGTATGACCCGCATATTAATGAGTGTTGGCTTGCATATATTAAATAAGGTCCAATATTTATGGTAGAACCATGGCATTGCAAAAGTTTTTTTTTACTTGTTAGATATCGTGGTCATTAATTCTTACTAACTTAGGTTGTATAATATAATATTGCAAAAGTTTTTTTACTTGTTATTTTTGTTTGGTTTTTCCTTCTCTTTTTAAATTTAAAGATAGACCTTGTAACCATGTGCATGCATTAATATGACCTTTATTTTCATTTATGTAACTCTAACATTTCTTCGCTTTTCGTTATTTCTGTGGATAGAAATTGCCACATCTCCAAAGGTCCTTTTTCTTTTCTTATAGACTAAAAAAAGAATAATAAAAAATAGCCGAGATAGAAGAACAATTACCTTAAGATTATTATTAAGATAGAAGAAATGGTAAAGGTCAGCTAGAAGCAAACCACTAGCCGATAAACAATAAACGTTTTGCGTTAAAAATGTTTAAAGTATCCTTACACATTGATGCCGTCTCCAGTTCAGCTTCCACAAAATGATTAACTGTTTGAATTTTATCAAGAAAAAAAAAAATAAAGATATAAATAGAGACATAGATATAGATGTATAGATAGATAGATATATATAGGTATAGATGCATAGATAGATAGTTATAGATATAGATAGATTTATAGATGGAATAGGTATAGATATAGATGTACAGACATAAATCGATAATTTTCTCTTTTTTTTCCCCTTTTATAACAGAAAAAAAGGAACAAAACTAGGCTTATTTACATATTTTACGTGAAAGAAAATTAGTTAGCTTTAAAAATAGACAAATTAGAAATCGCATAGCCATTATGTTTATAATTATCGCTTTACATATATGTTTTTATGCACAGGAAGGACGAATTTCACTTTTGGGAAGGAGAAAAATAGGATTGAATTTTAGGTTGATCAATTTTGAAGTAATTATACTAAATGAGACATATTGTTTTTCATAAATGTGTACGAATTTGTATGTAAACAAATAAGTCTTCAAACCACATTCTCTAGTAAAAATCCAATTAGATAGAAAAATCCAATTTGATAGAAAAATCAAGGTAACTGACGTTAATAATTTGGAGTTTAGTTTTGTTACACATAAAAATTTACTTCTTTCTTTGAAACCAAAAAACTTGGGGATCCGCCATCAGAGTGATCCACGGATTCCTAATGGCCAAATTGAAGGTAGCAGGCGTTGGACTTTGACTCACTTTCAGCTCGTTTTTATAACATCACTGCGGTACTTGCTTCGTAAAGGCAATGCCCGGGATCCCGCTGACGTGCTCATGGGCGCAGTCCTCCTTGGAGGAATTCCAAGCGGCGGTCGGTAGCTCGCCGAGTGGTGGTGTACCGTCTTTGCTGAAGGCGAGCTCGAGTTAAACCGTGAGATCGTCAATCTTTTAGTTGATGACATAGCATTTTTTTCTATAAATTTTTGGGTGTGACATGGGTAGATTCAAGTTCAACTTCTTTGTTTCATTTCACGTCTTTTCAATAATATTATAACATGTCAATTGAAATATCATATCACATTAATTGAAAAATAATGTCGAATAAAATATTTTAATTGATTGAGATAATATTATTAGAGGTGAAAAAAGGATAGGAAATTCACGAACTAGCTAAGAGTAGCTAAGAGTGTGTTTAGTATATAGATTCCAGCGGTTTGAACCACTGATTAAAGCAAAACCATTGTTTGGAAGCCCAAAACTGTATTTTCGTCTTATAATCTGATTTTGGTTGTCATCTATCTTTTATATGTGTGTGTGTGTGTATTGGAGCGAAGTGCCAACAAGAGTGGCAACAATCTAAACGAGAAAGAAAAAAATTAATTATTTTTATGCGAAAAAATTAGTCATATTTATTAATATATAATTGAATAGTTGAATTTGTGTGGAGCTCCCCCAGAACCTCAGTTGATGAAAATGGTGGATCACGTAAGAAAAGGGGCAACAGTAGAGGACCATATCCAGGAATAGATGAAGAAAGAAGGTAAAGAAATGCTAAAGACGACAAATTAATTACCAATCTAATTTGACAAAACTACGTTGAAGCCAATAGGGGACAATCATAGTACATGGTCACGTGATTTTTTCTATGCATAGAAAACAACGTCTACCACTACAGATAGCATCCTATCACAAGATACCGAGTCAGATTGGAAGAAGCCAATTTGGAAAGCAATCGACGTAAGAACTTGAAATAAGCAGGTTGGAAGAAGCAAATTTGGAAATCAATATGTATGTTGAGTTGCAAATTTGGTCACGTGATTTTTATATTTTAAATTGTCTATTTCTCTTATTTCCATATTTCCGCTTATACTGTTCACCTAAATATTATTATTTGGCCCAACAGATGTATAATGAAGAATGCTTTATATAAATGTCGCATCATCTCTTAGATCTCAACTATGTGCATAAAATAAAAAATATATTTAAAAAAGCCGGATAAAAATTACTGAAGTTTTACTTCATTATTATGATACGCTTACACTTATTTATTAAAAGCCTCAACATCACAGCAGTGGTTGAAGCGTGGCAAGCTTTAATTACCCCCAAGTTTTCTAGTGACTTGGTAGTTTTATAAACATACATATATAATAGGCGTAATATATTGCATGTAGCATGCAATATATAGTTTCTAATTATTCATCATGCGCCTTTGACAGCGAGAAGATTCTCAAACGTCAGCATATCAGTAGTACTGATGGAGTTGCATTTTTCAGGATTGCAGGTCTCAACCTTATATTTGCAAATGCATATTGGTGGGATACCTAGTGTACAAATGCAAGTTCCTTTGCAACGTAAGGGGCATCCGCCTACCTTCACGTCCGTACGATAACATTTTGTGGTTTCGGATTCTTTCTCGCACTCACAGTTAGAGCAGAATTTTTGTCCAAAACCTAAAATAACAAATATATAAAGTATATCATTATCATTAGTATAAATGAGGGAAGCTGAAGTACATATGTGTGCGCGCGCGCACATATATATATTCATACCTGCAGATGGAGAATGTTCAGTAGAAATCTCGTTAAGGTCAATCCGAGCATCAGCTATAGCTGCAACAAGAGCGACCGAAAATAGTAGTAAAATCACAGAAACATTTTTGAAGGCCATTTTGGTTTGCTAATGATATTATGCAAGATTGATAGTAAGTGAATGGTTGGTGCAGATCACAAGGGTCTCGCGAGGACGTTTATATAATTTGCATTGTGGGACCATTGAAACAAAGGGAATGATTGATGCGGAAACAAGGGTCTACGTTTAAATAGTTGCATTGTGGGACCATATTTGAAACAAAGGGTCTCGCCAGAGCCTGCTATATATATATATATATATTATTCTTCAGTCTCTATTTAGGCACGTGCACAATGTTTATAACTTTCTGTTTCCATTGGTTAGCGAGTTAGCAAAGGAAAGTGGAGAGAGAGATGAGTGAGAGGCAGGAGAAATAGTGAGAGAAAGAGGCAGCAAAGGGGCGGAGAGAAATCGACTTTAAATGATAAAAGCCACATCAACGTTTGTTTTTTTGGTTTGGACATGTATAAAACATGCTCGCAGACAGATGACAGGTAGTACAATCAATGGTGCTCTGTATTTGTACCATATACTTCCATTTCAAAGAAGAAAATAGTATAAAATCTTTGATGGGATATTATGTATCAGTAGAATATAATTTTTGACAATCAATAGAATATATAAATTATTAATTGTCAAATTTTATAATTAGGGTTTGTTGCTTTTACATATTTTCTCATCTTGATCATGAAATTTTGACTAATCTGACATTAAAACACGTTATACTACTAAACCTGATCTAATCTAAGAAAGCTAAAACAAAAATAAGAGGAAAAAAGGGACAAAAATAGGCTTATTTACTTGTTTCACGTGTAAGAAAATTAGCTAGCTTTATAAACTGTAGACAAATTTAAAAACTTACGTAACATTCCATTTTACGTGATCATTACTCTACTTTAAATTATTTAGAATTTATAGGAAATTTTTTTGAGTTTTTATATTTTTTTTTTGTAACAATGTAAAATATCTAATTTCTAATTAAATAAATAGAAGGGTAAAATCAACATTTTACATTCGAAAAATTGGGTTCAAAGTATAGAAAGAATGATTCTTTAAAAGTGAAAATACCATTTTTTATATTATTAAAAACACATAGTACATTCATGTAACGATCTAACTGTTACTTACCATGATTTGAATTAAAAATCTCTTTAACTAATAATTTTATAAACTCGGTAATCCAAAATTTTGAGAATAATTTATTTTTTAAATCTTATTTAAAATCTCAAAGCACAAAATAACTTTTGGCGAGTTGAATATGCACAATATAATTGCTTTCTTAAATTAGGTTCAGTACTAAACTTCTAAAGAGACAATCAATCACATTATTCAAATCATACAAGTCATATTGCGTTATACTACTCAACCTAATCCAGGAAAGCTGACAAATAGGCTTGTTTACATGTTTCACATGTACGAAAATTAGCTAGCTTTATAAATAATAGTCATATTACGTGATCACGACTTAACTATTTAATCTTCTTATATACTTATCTTCAGGCCTGCTCAAAGTGGTGATTCGACACCTTAATTTTTATAAAGAGACCTTTTGAAAAAACTATATGCACTTTTTATATTTAAAATATATTATTTTTGTTTTAAACTGCAATATGAATCCAGTTAATTATTTGACTAATGATCAATTTGATGTTTTCTATTACATTGTGAATTTTAAGTACCATCGTAGTTAATTCATTTTATTAATATCTTTTTCTTTTATCATGACACTCCTCCTAATTCATACGTTTCAACTACTAAACTTTCACTTTCTGGCAAACTAATTAAATATGGTGTTCTTATTACCCTTTTTTTTTTACCCAGCATGTGATTGTTTAGTTTACTGTTTGCTGTTCTGCCAAACTAAACAGCTTGAATCCGGTATATTTTGCTAATAAGTTTAGACAAATGTGGTTGTTCATCAATTAGGGCTTACAAAATAAATGCAATGATAAATTACAAAAATTTTCCCCAACTAAGATCCGTGTAACATTTTAATTATTAGTTTCTGGCACTTTCTGCAACCATGCCTAATCAATATGCAAGGTGTGTTTTTACCACAGATGCGTTCTTCACCCGAACAACTAATTACTCGGCATAAAAAGCACTTGCCCTTTTTTCTTTTTTTTGTTTTTGTTTTTTTTAATCGGTTTTTTTTTTTTCTTCCCCTTAACCCAATTGCCGTCAGATAATGTCTTTTTTGTTTACCTAACTCAACGAATATTAAGCACGCAAAAAATGTTCTAGTCTGTTAGTTACCGTTTGTCTTTTGAAGTAGTTTTTACCTTTATTTATGTACACGAATGAGTCCAATTAATGATCCTATATATATACACATATATATATATATATATGTATATACACACTTGATCCAATTTATAGCAAATACTTAAGGCTGGCAATTTAGGTAGCGATACGACGACACGACTCGAAACCCGCACGAAATTAGCGGGTTTAGGTTTATCATAAATAAGTTTAGGTCAAAATCAGGTCGAACCCGCGAAACACGATTAAACAACGGATCGTTTTCAGGTTGACCCACCAACCCGCAATTGACCCGCGATAATCGTTTATTAAACGTGTCATATTTAGATAACACGATTATATAACCCGTTTGTTACCCATTTATTATCTAGGTTAAAAATGTTTCAGCATTTATAAGACTTCCTAATCTCACAAGTCACAGCCGCCCATGCTCAACATTCCAAAGTCCAACCCTCTGTCTCTCGACTCTCCTCTCCTTTGACTTCCACTCTCTCTCAACTCTCCTCTCCACCGCCTGAGCTCTTAGTCCACCGGAGGACCACCGCCTGAGTTCTCAGTCCATCGGAGGACCACCACTTCTCTCAGTCCAGACCCACCCACCCTCGCCCTCACCCACCCTCGCCGCTTCTTCTTTCCTCTCCACCTCATTCTCTCTGGACTCTCCACTCTCTCCGTTGAAATCGGCCTTGGGGTATTTTCCCTGTCTATTTTTCGTTTTTATTTTGATGATTTGATTTGAGCTATGGTTGTTTTTGTTTTTATTTTTGTTTTTTTCTAGATTTCCTTGGCCGTAAATAACTACCCATTACAACTTATTTGGTTTGTTTGGTAATCTATAATGATAATGAGAAGCGGTGGAGGGAAGCCCATAACTGAAACCTACTAAGATGGCCATTCATGTTAAAACAACAAAACTATCCTCTCTTAATCAAATAACAAACAATTGAAAACCAAATTACTCAAAAGATTCTGAGCCTTTAACCAAAAATGAACATAAAAGAACACAAGGAAAATTTTTTTTTTTACTAGTCCCAAGATCTCACCATAATCAACGTATCTTGGAAACTTATTTCTGTGCTTGATAACGGAAACTTGTGGAGAATTTGATATCAATAACTGTAAAGCCATTGAGATTATTACCAACCCACTTCTGATTTTCTCCCTTGTAACTCTTTCACTCAAATTCAATGACTAGAAACCAGATATTCCATTCCTAAAATCTTCCACAACAACCTTGATGAACAGAAAATTTCCGAGGAACAACGTAGCCTCGGCGAGATTCTTGATTGGTTTGGAGGAGATGATACATTTCAGAAGATTAACAATACAAGCGCCAGAATATAGAGGAAGCCAAAAGTACCAATCTATTTATTACACACATAAAAAGAAAAAAAGAGAAACAAAAAGGTAAAATAGTTGTATTGGCAATTATAAGGAAGGAAAAAGGAGGTGAGAAATTGGAATATGCCCGTTTCATTGCATTCATAATGACCTTTATTTGGATGTCTTCAGTTGAGTCTACTACCGCATCACAGAAATCAGAGCTTGACCTTTATTTAGATGAGCCAAGACTGGCTAGGACCGCAGAGCTTGATATCCTTTCCTTTTGGAAATCAAACCAATTTCGATATCCAGCACTAGCTGGCTTGTGATATATTGACTGTCCCTGTTTCAACAGTTGCTTCTGAAACTACATTTAGTGTTGGTGGTAGAGTTCTTGATTCACTTCGTAGCTCACTTAAACCGAAGACAGTTGAAGCACTTGTTTGTACCAGAGATTGGTTATATGGAGACAAAGGTGGTTTCAAACTTATTTAAATTATGTATATTTCCTATATTGATTTTGAACTAACTTGTATCTATATATATTTGTTTTCGTGTAAATTTTAATGAAGAGGTGAAGGCTGAACGTAATGATATACTTAGAGTCCCCCCACTGCAACAAATTATTTAAATGTTTAATTATTAATCATGTATGTTTATATTCAATGACTAGAAACCAGATATTCCATTCCTAAAATCTTCCACAACAACCTTGATGAACAGAAAATTTCCGAGGAACAACGTAGCCTCGGCGAGATTCTTGATTGGTTTGGAGGAGATGATACATTTCAGAAGATTAACAATACAAGCGCCAGAATATAGAGGAAGCCAAAAGTACCAATCTATTTATTACACACATAAAAAGAAAAAAAGAGAAACAAAAAGGTAAAATAGTTGTATTGGCAATTATAAGGAAGGAAAAAGGAGGTGAGAAATTGGAATATGCCCTTTTCATTGCATTCATAATGACCTTTATTTGGATGTCTTCAGTTGAGTCTACTACCGCATCACAGAAATCAGAGCTTGATCTTTATTTAGATGAGTCAAGACTGGCTAGGACCGCAGAGCTTGATATCCTTTCCTTTTGGAAATCAAACCAATTTCGATATCCAGCACTAGCTGGCTTGTGATATATTGACTGTCCCTGTTTCAACAGTTGCTTCTGAAACTACATTTAGTGTTGGTGGTAGAGTTCTTGATTCATTTCGTAGCTCACTTAAACCGAAGACAGTTGAAGCACTTGTTTGTACCAGAGATTGGTTATATGGAGACAAAGGTGGTTTCAAACTTATTTAAATTATGTATATTTCCTATATTGATTTTGAACTAACTTGTATCTATATATATTTGTTTTCGTGTAAATTTTAATGAAGAGGTGAAGGCTGAACGTAATGATATACTTAGAGTCCCCCCACTGCAACAAATTATTTAAATGTTTAATTATTAATCATGTATGTTTATTTTCTAATTTGTGAGACTTTTATGTGTTTGTTTTTTAATTTGTGAGAGACCTTCATGTGTTTGTTTTAATTTTGAACTTAGA